AGAGACAGTATATATACGATGTAAGTCATAACGTTATACGATACTCTATTAACTGGAAAATTTTTGATTATGATACCACTAGATGACCGTAAATGGCACTATCAGACCTAAATTTGATTAATATTTTCCTTTTTCCTGCTTTTTTTAAAAATAAATTTGAAAAATGTAGGAGTGGGGGGTAGGCCGGCTCGCTCCCCCTCCCAATTTGAATCCGCCACTGATATGAAATTATAGACTGGGGTACAAATCCCGGTTCGGAGAGAATGTTGTTCACCATGAAAGGTGCATTAACACCAAATCCCAATATTCAGATAGGAAGGCCTACCGAACCGATCAGAAAGTGTGTGTAAGAATAGGACGCTGGTGGTTTCGGCGCTCCGGAAACGCCGTCGGAAGTTCGGTACGGATCCGATGTGAATAGAGCTTTGTAGATTTTGTGGATGATAATGGGATTTCACTATTCTTAGTCACCACAACATTGCCAAAACGAATTATGACAATTAATCAGAATATTTCAGCGTTTAAAGGGTTATTTATAGCTATCAAGTATTTTGGCATTATAAAGATGAACATTGCTTGATCGCATATTTAGAAAAAAATCCAAGATATTTTACTTACTAATCTGACAGAATACACCAGTGTAGCCGAGAGCACAATTACAGACGTAGCCATTTACAGCATCAATACAAGTCCCGCCATTTTGGCACGGATCAGAGGCGCATTCATTGATATCTATTAAAAATAGCATCAGTAAAATTCATTATTTTTTAAATAAGTTTCCCATAATTAATATTATAAAATGAATTCTACTATATTTTCGTTTTCATAGTGTGGTATTGTAATATAATATAATTTAAAGTTTTGAGTTGTTTGTAGGCTACATACTGATTTGACAGAATGTTCCAGTGTAGCCTAGAACACAGCTACAGACGTAACCATTTACGCCATCGAAGCACGTTCCGCCATTTTGACACGGTCCAGATGCACATTCATCAATATCTATAACATAACATGTGAATATAAATATGACGTCATCAAAGTATATTGTAATAAACTTACTCGTATCGTAATATTGATACTTTATGAAGATGTTATCTGTGATGATTTGAATTTTCGAAGTGTTTATATTGCCGGCTACGGTATGTCTAAAGGTGTGCCCGACCTAATCATCCCGAAAAAATAGCCGTATTCGACAGGTCGTTCTTCGTTAAACCACGCCCATCTGCCCAGTGGTAATCATACTTAACGAAAACGACCAGTCGAATAGAAACTTGTAAATACTCGACAAAATCAAAATGACTGCAGAGTTACCGTGATACACGCACGGCGTAATCAAGATTGCTTCGGCTTGTGGCAGTAGGGGTTTTTCATAAAAAAATGTTTTCATCCAGTTTTTGAATCCTGTGAGTCTACAAATTATTTTTTGACTTCATATGGGTAAATATTATAATTTTTATTTTCTGAAATTTAATCTAAATTATATTAACGCAAATGATGTTTCTAAACTGAATCGGCCATGTTTGTTTTGGTCACGTGGATAACTTAACGCTGATTAACGCACTCTGGTTTACGTTAGTTTTTGTTGTCATCGAAGTATACTTTACGAGCCTGTCGAATGAAAATAATACTCAACGAAAAATCGTAGTCAATGAAATGAACCAGTCGAATAAGCTCAATGTATAAACGAATATGCGGCTTAACATCCATCGCCTACTGTAATTCCATGGTAAGACATAACCTTCTATGACTATAAACTTCCAATTTATTTTTATTAACATCAGCGCTAGTAGAACATAGGTCTATTATAATGTTGTAGAGTAGTTATTAAATAAAATAATTATTAATTATATACTTTAAACATATAAAATATATGACATACTTGTCTGGCAATTGATCCCTGTATATCCCGCTAGACACGCACACGTGTATCCGCCGAGAGTATCAATACATGTACCTCCGTTTATACAAGGTGAAGTGGCGCATCCATCGATATCTGAAAGAAGTATAAACGTATATATCTAATAATAAATAATATTAATTAATAAACAATTTGTGAAAAACCATAAGAATAGTGTAGCGTTTATGACGTCATTATGTAGCGTGATTCCTTGGCAATAAGTTCATAAGAATATAATTCGAACATTGTTCGTATTGCATATTTTACAAATGCAAAATGCTTCCTTTGGTTTATACCTACCAGTTTGACAGAATGTACCGGTGTAGCCAGGAGCGCAATTACAAAAATAACCATTTATAACATCAATGCATGTTCCGCCATTTTGACACGGTCCGGAGGTGCATTCATCGATATCTGCAGGTGTAAGCAAATTTCCGATTACGTATTTATGACCTCATATAAATATGACGTCATCAGATTAATCGCGTTTCAATTACGCAATTATGTAATATGACGTCATATTACGTATACGACGTAATATTCATATGACGTCATATTCATGTGGTGTAATTGAAACCCGATTATAATAATTCTGTAAGTGGCATCGTATTATTGATATTCAAATATTATAAGTGGGAGATTTAGACAGTTTGCACTTACTAATGTTACAATTTAGACCAGTGAAGCCTGAGGCACAGATACATAAATAACCATTTACTCCATCCAAGCAAGTCCCGCCATTTTGACACGGTAAAGAGGCGCATTCATCGATATCTGTAAACAACGTAATTTAATTAAACTTATACGATGATTTCTTGTCTTAATGGGGTATTCCAATATAAATAAGTATATAAGTATTAATCTTTGAAGTTTGACACTGCACTTACTAATTTGGCACCCTGATCCAGTGTAACCTGGGACACAATTGCAGACATAACCATTTACCCCATCCACGCACGTTCCGCCATTTTGACACGGTCCGGAAGCACATTCGTTGATGTCTGTAAACAGATACGAATTCATGTATGAAAATGATTAATTAGCATTACGATTTTCTCTTTTAAAATATTATTATTATTATTATTATTATTATTATTATTATTATTATTATTATTATTATTAAACTATTATTATGCATATTATTGTTATTCATTTCACACTCCATCATTATCGTTATCACTATCATAATTTCATTATCATTTTATTATTATGGATACAACATATCGGCTTATAGCCAACTTGATACTGGCCCTCAAGAGCATAATAATCATTTATTGGCAAACTATACTTCTGGATGGAAGGAGGTGTGTCTAGAGTTTTAAATAACGACAAACTACTTGCCAATAATCCACTGATATTTAAAGTCTTAGATGTATAGAAGATATTACGTTCACTTACTTATCTGACAATTTAACCCTGTATATCCCGGTAGACAGCCACACGTGTATCCGTCGACAGTGATAAAACAAGTTGCCCCGTTAATACATGGATTGGAGAAACACACCCCACCCAAATCTTCTTCACAATTTTGGCCAGTGAATCCGATGGGACATTGACAGACATACTGATTAACGCCATCTAAACAAGTACCGCCATTTTGACAAGGAGAACTTGCGCATTCATTGATATCTGGAAAAAAAAAGAAAATAATTTTAGCATACCTTATTTTGTTAATTATTTTACAGGTCTCCTTACAATTAAAATCCTCTCTAGTTAAAGACCACCTCCAATTAAAGACCAGTTTTCTGTGGTCCCAAATTCACTAACGTCATTATCTTTAATTAGACCAAAGCTGTTGAAGACCACCGGAATCCCATCCCATTCAAGTATAGGAGACCTATACTTGATATATTCATCTGCCCCATATGATATCATCGACATCGAAGAGAAAGCACAGATAATGTATGGTCCACAGCGCCCTGATATGGGAATGGTATACTAAAAGAAGAATATAGTCTCAGGAAAATAAATAATTACAAAAATATTTTAAAACTTATTAATAGGCCTATCAGTATTTCTAAATCTGACTTTAAAATCTATATTTTACCTACCAATTTCACAATTTGTGCCAGTGTAGCCCTGAACGCAACTACAGAAATAAGCATTAATGGCATCAAAACACGTCCCACCATTCTGACACGGTCCAGGTGCACACTCATCAATGTCTATAAATAAACACATTCGATTACGTATGCATATGACGTCATCAAAATGTAATCAATTCTAGTTTTTTTGTTTAAGTACCATCGTACAAACGTATAGTGGAAATTTCAGATTGTTTGTACTTACTAATTTGACAGAATATTCCAGAGTAGCCGAGAACACAATTACAGAAATAACCATTTACAGCATCGAGACACGTTGCGCCATTTCGACACGGGTTAGAGGCGCATTCATCAATATCTATATAAAAAAAATCGATTACTAGTACTCTAGTGCTGCCTGATTTGAAATATTTGAATGTGTTTTGTTATAACAATACTTTAAATA